TATTTTCTTGAGTATGCTTTCTACGTTTCTTTTTTTTTTTTTTTTTTTTTCTCCTTTGGTATGCCAATTTGTGGAGGTTGTTTCACTTGAGGGAGTCCCGTATTTGCTGTGTTTCTGTTTCATTTTTTCTTATTTTTTATTTTTGTTCCTCTGAATAATTTCGTGTGTTTTATCTTCAAGCTCACTGATTCTTTCCTCTGTTTGATTAAGTCTGCTGTTAGAGCTTTCTATCAAGTTCCTCAACTCAGATAATGTATTCTTTATTTCTAGAATTTCTATTTGTATTTTTTTAAATTGGTACTATTGCTTTGTCAGGGTTCTTATTCTGCTCCTGAATTTTTTTTCCAGATATCATTTATAATTTTATAGCTATATTTTCTAGTGACTCCCTGAACATTCTTAAGAGGGTTATTCTGAATTCTCTGTCTGACATTTCATAAATCTGCTGTTCCTCTGCATCCATTGCTAGTCCTTTATTTGTTTCCATTGGTGGAAATATATTTCTGTGATCTTTATCTTTGTGTCTTTACATTGATGCTAGGCCTTTTGAAGAGAGTGCCACGTCTTTTAGCTTTTATAGGTGTTTGGTGATGTAGACCTTTACTGGTTAGTATCAGAGCTTTGTCTCTGATCTGTGAGTTTTTTCCCCCTGTGGTGGATTAATAGTTACCTCCACCACTTAGACTCTTCAGTGGAACTAATGTGCTGTCCTATGGTTAGTTCCTGACTTGGTAGAACTTCCTGGGGGTACCAAAACTTGAAATCTGTGCTTGAGCTAAACTGCAGCTGATTTTCTTGGGAAGGCTTTTTGTGTGGATCGTTAATCAATTCCAGCTTTGGGCTGTGTGCGAATTCTGGCCTGGGACTGAGTCTTTCCTGCAGTTCTATCCCCCTGACTGATTTCCACTGAAACCAGCTGTCCATGCTGTGCCCAATGTTCCCCTGGCGGGCCAGCCTTTCCTCTGTACTCCAAATACTTCCCATGGGACAGGCCATGTGCATGTCCCTTGCCATAACTCATGAGCCTCTGTGCAGCTACTTTTTCCAGTCAGCTGTGGCTGCTTGCTCCTGTGTGGGCCCAAGGGAACCCTGCCAGTGATCTTAATGGCTTGTGGGCTGGGGTGGTGCTTTCTGAAGCCCTCCTCTCCCCTGCAGACTCCAAGTAGACTTACACAAAGGTTACCGCTGCAGCTTTTTCTGGCTTCAGTCATGTGCAGAAGCTACTCTAGGCCTCTGTATCAAGGTGGCTCAGAAGTGTCCAGGGCTCAGAATGATAGGCACCATCCACACACCCTCTCACTGTGGCCTCTTGAGTCTTCACACACTTCGTGGGTCTCTACTCCTCTTTCCCCACCTCCAGTACTCCCAGATTGGCAGTCTTTGCTTTTTAATAGTTGTAAATTGGTTACTTGTGGGGAGGAGCAATGCTTGGAATTGTCTATTCTGCCATCTTGATAACATCACTCTCAGGATGAATAAAAAAATAGTGTTTAGGAATGTATTGCATAGGCTTGAGTGACTTCCTATTCAAAAGGACTGTTAAGTAATCTGCCATTTCTTTTTCTTTCTTTTTGAATTTCTTCTCCCTGCATAGTTTGTATCTTCCAAGTTGCTTTTTTTGTTTGTTTTGTTTTGGCACTTTCATATTAGAGACATTCTTGAAATATTTGATTGCTAATCATATATAGGAATAAACCAGTAAAAATTAATTAGCAGCTCTGAGGACATGGATGGGATTTATGAACTTAATCGTATGGTGCTTTGGTAGGATGATTTCTTAAGAAACCTCCGTTAATATCTTTAGGTCTTTTCTCTTAGGCTCATCATATTACTCAGCCTTGACTCTTCTTATTTCATGCCTGGAGGATATGCTCATGGCTGCAAATGTGCTGGGGTCTGGAGACAGCAGGCAGTCTGGGATATGCAAAATTCATTATATAAACTTTTCCTTAATTCTGTAATTTTGAGTATGGTAGCGCCTCCTCCAATTCTGTCTAGAGTCCCCCAGTCCAGAAAATGCTGTTTTACACTTTCTGAATAATAAACCTTTATTTTTTTCCATCAGTAAAGAGAGGAGAATACCTGGAAGTCTAACTTATATTTAGGTGGACTTCCAACTAACCCTTCTGTTATGAAATCACACCCCCCTCAGCCTTTCACTCCACTGCCTGAGGCATCTAGTATCACCACTTCCAGACTTTTTTTGGGGGGGGGGGTAAGAGTTCATTTGGTTTGCCTCTTGACTTTCCTTATTCTGCTGGGTTTTGATTCAACTTTTTCTCACCTACTGAGTAGTTTACCATTTTCTGTTCACTTTTTGGCTTTCAAAATTTTGTATCTGATGTCCCCTCTGCCATTCTCTTTGTTCTTAAGGTTTATGTCTTTCAAAGTAAGTCCATTTACTCCCATTTTAATGGTGTTTTAGGAGAGAGAAAGTTAATGTATGCATTCAATTCACCATTGTTACCTGGTATGGCTTATCTTTTAAAGATTCAGTTTAATTTTTTGTGGTTTTTGTTGTAAAGAAATTTACAATTTGTATGTATTCAGATCTACTTATCTTTTTCTTTATGACTTCTGGGTTTTGGTCAAATCTACAAATTCCTTCCTTAACAAAAAGTTATAAAGATATTCTCTTCTATTCTAATACTTTTTTTAGTTTTGTTTTTTAATATAAGTAATTGATTTTATGTATATTGTGAAGGTGTAATGATCTGATTTTTTTCAAATTGCTAGTTGATTTTTGCAACACTCTATTGAATAGACAGACTATTCTTCCTTAGTTTAAGCACTAAAAGAGTAGAATACATATGGTCCCCTTTTTATGGAATCCACTGTATATACTTGCAAGCGGTCACCTTTAGAAAATTACAATTTTTGAATCAATGTTTTCAGTGATTTCTAATGCTAGGCTTACTTTTTTGTAAATGATATTTTAAAAATTACACTTCTAAACTTTTTGCTTGGTTTATAAAAATGTAGTTATTTTCATATGGATTTCATAATAGCAACCTTGCCAATATCTCTTATTCTAATAATTTGTCTGTAGATTATTTTGAGTTTTCTGTATTGACAGTCAAGTCATCTGTGGATAATCATATTTTTGTTTCTTCCTTTACAATCTTTTGATCTTTTATTTATTTTCCTTGTCTTATTGAGCTGGCTGGGACTTCAAGTGCAGTGCTGAATAGAAAGCACATTAATGGGTATCCTTCTCTTGTATCTTATTTTTTAAGGAGAATGAATGCTTTTTATGTTTCACTATTAGATATAATGTTTTCTGTGGGGTTTTTGTTTGTTTGTAGATGCGATTTGTCAGGAAATATCCCTCTCTTCCTGGTTTACTGAGAGTTTTCTTTTTTTAAAACTATGAATGGGCTTTTAAATGAGAACTTTTTGTACACTGATTTTTGAATAAGATTTTTCACCTTAGATTTATTAGTGAGGTGAATTGCATTTTAGATTTTAATGTTGAATCAATCTTGCAACCTGGATTAACTCAACTTGGTAGTGATGTTATAGAACGGACTCAACAGAGAAGCAGTCGGCACTCAGAAGGTTGGAGAGTCAGGTATTTTATTATGCTGGCGGGCCCAGATGAGTTAGCGCTGCAAGATCTGGGCCCTGAGTTTAGGTCTTACAGGATTTATATAGGCATACTCTTCCGGGTTTTTTTAAGTTTTGCTCTCTCAGCATTTATGTGGCTAGCGCGGTAATAAGTCTCATTTTTTCAGCATTTATGTAGCTAGTGCAGTAGCTATTGTGATAAGCAAGCATGGTTACAGAAGTGAGAGTGTGAGCACTTGAGTAACAGTAAGGCTGATGCAACAAGCGGGTACTATTTTAAAGGCAAAACAGGATATTGAAAGAATTAATTTTGAATCTTGAATTTTCCCAACAATGTATTCTGTTTTTTAACACTGCTGATTTGGGTTGCTAATATTTCTTGTTCAGAATTTTTATATCTCTGTTCATGAATGAAAATGGGATATAATTTACCTCTTTTATAATGTCTTTGACAGGTTTTAGTATCAATACTGCACTAGTTTCATAAAGTGCTGTAAGAAATGTTTCTACTTTTTTCATTTGGGGAAGTGCTGTAAGAAATGTTTCTACTTTTTTCATTTTGGGGAAGTGGAATTATCTGTCCCTTGAGTGTTTGGTAGAATTTATTGGTAAAACCAAATAAGCTTGGTGTTTTCTTTGTGGGCAGATTTTAAATTACTGATTTAAATTCTTTAATAGTTGTAGGATTATTCAAGTTACTTTATTTCTGTTTTATTGAGTTTTGGTAATTTGTATTTTCGTAGGAATTTTCTTCTTGTTCTGAGTTTTCCAATTTATTATATAAGATTACTTATAACAGTTCCCTATTATCTTTCTAATCTTTGTCTATAATTATGTCCCACATTTCATTCCTACTACTGTTTATCTGTCCCTTGTATTTTTCTTGATTAATCTGACTAGGGGTTTGTTTAATTTTATTAGTTATTTCAAAGAACCAATTTTTAGCTTTGTTGATCAAAATGGTGTGTTTTATCTGTTTCAGTTTCATTTAATTCTGCTCATATCTTTATTATTTTCTTCTGTTTTACTATCTTTGGGTCTTTTCTGTGTCTGATTTTCCTTAACTTCTAACTTTTCTTTTTTTGTTGTTTTGTTTTGGTGGCAAGCTGGTATAGGGATTGCACTTTGTACCTTCTGGTTGTCAGCACCATGCTCTAACCAACTGAGCTAACCAGCTAGTTTCACTTCTAACTTATTTTCTATTATAAGTATTTAAGGTTGTACATTTTCCTACTCCATTTTTTGGTGTAGTACAAAAATGGCAATGAGAAATTTCAAAGTTGAGAAAAGGATTTCATTATGACTTTTAAATTGCCACCAGCAATAGAGCCTAAAATTCATAGTGCTCAGCATGTCAAACAATATGATTTTGATATGTACCTGGGAAAATCACACTTACTAATGTTGTTTTAATTTCATCTTGTTTTGTGTAGGATTCACCTTTATTTGACCTTATTAAACAATCAAAGGACAGAGAAGGACCAGCTGATCATCTTGATTCTGCTTGTCCTCTCAATCTTCCTCTACAGAATAATCACACTGCTGCAGATATGTAAGTAGAATGTATGTTATTTTATCCATTCAAACTGCAATTAGATTTTGAGCATAAGCTTAATACAAAGTACTATATAAAAGCTGTAGGGAATAGAATTTTGAATTTCTGCTTTTAAGAATTAGGAATATAGGGCCGGCCCGGTGGCGCACTGGAGAGTGCGCCGCTTGGGAGTGTGGTGGCGCTCCTGCCGAGGGTTCGGATCCCATGTGGAGACCGGTTCCCGCTCACTGGCTGAGTGTGGTGCGGGCACAACACCGAGGGTTGCGATCCCGTTACCAGTCAGTAAAAAAAGACAAAAAGGAAAAAAAAAAAGAATTAGGAATATAAGATACCTGACCCAAATGGGTCATATAAAGGAGTATAAAGTGCTACTGAATCAGCTAGGATTGGTCGAGGGCAGTTTTCATGGCAGAGATGGTAATTTAGATAGGCCTTAAAGGTTGAATAGGATTTCAACATGGAAACTGGAAAGGAGAGAGGAGACAAAAGAGTGTTTCAAAAGTCAGAACTGGCATGAACCGAAAGCATAACAGCCAGGAAATCAGGAAACATCTTTCGGAGAGTGCAGATCAGCCCATTTGGAGTGAAGAATAGAATAGGTGTAGGGAGTAGCATGGGATATGGACTAACATGGTTGATGAGTGTGTGATGATGATGATGGGAGAAGAGAGCAATGGCTAACATTTACTGAAGGCTCACTATGTGCTGGGCAATTGCTTATGTACTTTATTTTTTTCAGTTATCTCTACAACAGCGCTATAAGGTAGTAAATACTACTGTTGGCTTCCTAAAATAGGAATTAGAGAAATAAGGTAACTTGCCTTAGGTCAATAGAAATCAGACCCAAGCAATTTGACCCCAAAGCACAGATATTAATCACTCTAGCTACACCGCCTTTCGTGAAAATGTGCCTAAAATTTCTGTTTAGTTTTGTGTAGGACCTGACATTATAGTGTTCTGTGATTAGTGCAAGGACCATTTTCCAGAGACGGCATTTCCATGCCAACTTATGCCCAAAATATTTCTAGCATATGGAGATTCTGCCTTCATATATAAATTTGTTTGCTAGGTAATACTTTTATATAAATAAGTCAAGCCTTTTTTTCTTTAATTCAATAAGCTGTTATCTGTTAAGTGCCAGCAAGTATTCTAGGCACTGGGAATACAGAAGTAAGATTTTCTAGGTCCTTCCCCTCATAGAGCTTATATTCTGGAGGAAGGAAACAGACAGCGAACAAGTAAACTAATACATAGATGATTTTAGAGTATAATAAGTGCTATAAAAACAATAAACAGTCATGTGAAATAGAGAAGCCGAGAGGATGATAGAATGTTTAGGGATGCTTTCCTTTCTCTGATCAAGTGATATTTTGACCTGACACCTCAGGACTAGTGGATGCTAGCCAGGCAAAAGTCTGCATCATGTGCATTCCAGGCAAAACAGATAGCAAGTTCAGGGGCCCTAGGGCCGATCAAACTTAGCTGGTTTGAGGAACAGAAGGAAATCCCAGTGTGGCTGGGGTATAGTGAGCAAGAGTAGAATGGTACAAGATGAGATTTGAGAGGTAAACTGGGGCTAGATCTTGTAGGTTCCTGTAGGCCACAGTAAGGAGTTTGGATTTTGTAAGGATAGTGGTAAACCATTTAAGCAGGGATACAGCCTGCCATAATTTGTAATTTTAAAGGACCACACTTCGGTTGTTATTTGAAATACAGGTGGGTTTGGGGGAGGGAAAGGAATAGGCAAGGAAGAAAGTGGGAGACTAATTTGGATCCCATTTGAATAATTCAGTGAGGGATGTAGGTGACTTGGTCTAAGATATGGCATTGGGTAGAAATGGAAAGTACTGGAATGTATTTAGAGATAGATTTAATAGGCTTTACACTGGTTTTACATTGGATTTGAGGAATTAAGAAAATGGAGAAATTAAAAATAATAAGGTTTTTGACTTAAGACACCAGATGTGATGTGAAGCCACTTTTTGAGATGAGAAAAACTGGAAGAAGAAATCAGCGCTCCATTTTGGCCTTATTAAGTTTAAGATTTAAGTAGTGTTATCTGTTAAGTAATTGGATATTTGCACCTGGAACTCAAGGGAGATTAACTTTTGCCCAAGTTAAGTCAGCCTATGGTGTTCTCAGTTACTGAACCGAAGGGATATTCAAGGTGGATAGGACATCAGACACTGGTACTTATAAATCATTGTGATGGTGAGTTCCTTTTCCTAGTGTATTATTTTATATACTGTATGTAGTACAAACATACATAGTAAGGTACAAATCCTACTTTCCGTTCAGGATTATTTCTCAGCTCCTAAAGCAAAATAAAAAGTACAGTTGACCCTTGAACAATACAGGGGTTACGGGCACTAACCACACCCCCCTAACCCCTCCCCCGCCGAGTAAAAAAATCTGTGTATAACTTTGACCCCCCAAAACTTAACTACTGATAGCCTACCATTGACAGGAAGCTTTACCAATAACATAAACAGTCAATTAATACATATTTTGTTTGTTATATTTATTATTCAGTAAAGTAAGCTAGAGAGAAGAAAATGTTACTAAGAAAATCATAAGAGAAAAACCATGAAAAATCAGTTTTTATGGTGATATGTAATTTACTGGAGAGAGAAACTGATCATGTGGAGATGATCAGCATCACATGGCATTTTTTAAAAAAATTTACTTATTTTTTTTTTATATTGCTGAGTGTTGGTTGGGGGGCTGGCCCACAGCTAGCTCCTTCTCTGGCCTGGTTGGTTGCTGATGGCAGATAGGGTGTGTGTGGCTGATGTCTGTGCAGGGGAGATGAGGGGGACACCACCAAGGCTAAGGAGCCCCAGGTGCATCTGGTCCACACAGTGGCATTGTAAGTGGATACTCCAAACGTTTGAACTCACTACAATAGCAACAAGAAGTGGCTACAAAATTATTACAGTGGTACAGCACATACTATAGTTAATTTTATACAGTTATGATTTAATACTGCATCTTTACATGTGTTTACATTTCTCTGAACTGAATGGTGGGTGCCATGTGTGGTCTATGAGTGGTTGTGTAAGTTTTGATAAATTTTAACTTTTTATACTGAATGTGTGTATATTTTATGGTAGTAGATGATAAACAGACTAGCACCTACATACACTTTATGCATTCATGAGACACCTAACTTTTTTGTAATTTTTTTGATATTTCTAGGCCACACAGTTTGTGTGCAAATTTTTTCAAATTGTCACAAATCTCCAAAAAATTTTCAGTGTATTCATTGAAAAATATCTGAATATAAGTGGATCTGCTTATTTCCACCCTGTGTTGTTCAAGGGTCAGCAGTAGACCTGGATTATTCTGTTAAATGAGGGCAACACAGAGCAATAGAATTGCTAGAAATTGTGAGATAATATTTGCTACTATCTCTGACTGGATTTATGCCTGAAATATTTAGTATATGGATATAAATCTGTCTTGATAAGGTTATTTAAAGTACTGATTCATAAAGTTCTGTACTATATAACTTAGGGGTATGTATATGTGTGCGTCTGTGTGTGTAACTTAAGTCTTAACATGTATATGAACCATAGTTATCAATAAAAATTTTTTTAGGAGGAAATATGATGCTATTTGGTATCATTAACTTTTTTTTAAGCTGGAGACATTTTGTAGTCTCAGTATTACTATAATTATTAAAATTGAACATTATACATATGCAGCTATTTTTTCCAATAAGTAGTTCCCAGGAAAAACCATTTATTAAAATAGAGTTAGATATGATGATGCCATAATTTTCCTATTAAGCTATCTTTCCTAGCTTATATTTAAATATCCTGATCAGGGAATTTCCTATAGAATGACAGGTTAAATAGACAAGATGTATCTGGGTGTATGTGTACAACCTTGGGGGGGCCGTGGAGTGTGTGTGTTATAATTAGCAAATTTCAAATGAAGATTCTTCCTTTGAATACATGTAGGTATCTTTCTCCTGTAAGATCCCCAAAGAAAAAAGGTTCAGCTGCACGTGTAAATTCTGCAAATGTGGAGACACAACCAACTTCAGCCTTCCAGACTCAGAAGCCATTAAAATCTACCTCCCTTTCACTGTTTTACAAAAAAGGTTAGTAGATGATTACTTGCAGGAGCATGGAATGTGAAACCAGACTGACTGGGTTCAAATCATCGCTCTTCTGCTTACTAGGTATAACCTTGGGCAAGTCACTTAATATTGCTATGCCTCAGTTTCCTCATCTGTAAATGGAAATAATAATAGTCTACCTTTCAGGGTTTTTGAGGTAATTAAATGAATTAATACATATAAAATGCTTCCAACAGTGCCTAGCAGATAGTAGCACTCAGAAAGTGGTAGATGTTATTATTGCCACTGCTGTTGCTATGTCTTCAATTAATATTTGAAAATATTTGACCTTGACATTTTTGTATGTAGAGTTGATATTATACAGTGTGCTGTTGCCTGTTGCAGACACATTTCCTGGATATTTTCAGGAACTTTACCAAGGCCAGTAACCAGGCTGTATAGTATTCTCTGATTATGTGTATATGTGGTGGGCAAGGGAGGTTGATTTGGGTGTCTGTGTATATACATGCAAGCGAACACCCACTTGGAGCTCACTAAAGGAGAGTGAGAAGCCAGATTCTTCTGTGATAAGTCTTTTTCCTGATTTTACTCAAGTCAGAAATATGAGGGTACTTCAAAAAGTTCATGGATTCATTTCACAATGGATGAAAAAAAAAGTTCATAGAAAGATTCGTATTATCTTTTAATTTCATTTTTCCATGAACTTTTTGAATTACTGTCATATATTGAGTTTTACAGGCATATTGTAAGACCTAGCCATTGGTTAGAGCAGTGTGGTCAAAGTGTGGTCTCCAACCAGCCGACTCCACATGACTTGGAAAGTTGTAGAAATGAGGATTTTAGGGGTCCACCCTAGACCTGCTCAAACAAAAACTCTAGGTTAGGGCCTCCAAATTGTTGTTTTAAGTCCAGGCAATTCTGATGTATGCTAAAGTTTGAGAATCACTGGGATAAATTGTTAGCTTCAAAAAACTCCAATTACCTTATGCAAGTCTTTGAAAGAAACATTTTAAACCAAGGGTCTTTTTAGTAGATGGAGGAAAATTCAATTTTTAGATTCTTTTTCTCCAAACTTGCATGAGGGGGATTCAAAAAGTTTATGGAAAATGTGTATTATGAAAAAACTATGCATAGATATCAAAATTTTTTTGCACCAAAAAAAACCCAACCCCATACTAATTTGTTATATAACATGTTTGAACAGGATCTAGGTGTTTTTTTTTTTCTTTAGGGGTGAAGTCTTTTCTTTCTCTTTCTTTTTGGCTACAAAACAAGTCTAATGAAATTTAGAAAATCCACAATGTGTGGAAACCCTCTCCTAAATAAACAATGAGTAAAAAGAAAAAACACAGGGATATTAAAGAGTACTTTGAGATAAAAATCAAAGCGCAACATATCAAAATTTGTAGGATGCAGGGCTATTGCAGTGCTTAGAGGAAAATTTATGCTTGTGAACACCATATTAAAAATAAGAAAAATCTCAAGTCTGTAATGTAAACTTCTACCTTAAGAAAACAGAAAAAGAAGAGCAAACTAAACCAAAGGCAAATGTAAGTAGGAAATAACAAAGATTACAACAGAAATATGTGACATGGGGAATTAAAAACCAATAGAGAGGGGCTGGCTGGATAGCTCAGTTTGTTAGAACACAGCCTTATAACACCAAGGTCAAGGGTTCAGATTCCTGTACTGGCCAGCCAAAAACAAACCAAAAAACACATTTCTATTTGATTTCATATATATATTCATATTCATAAACCAATAGAGAAAATCAACAAAAACAAAAGTGTATTCTTTAAAAAGATCAAAAAAAATTTGCAAACCTTTATCTAGACTGACCAAGAAAAAAAAAGAGAAGGAACAGGATCTAGTTTGAGGCACAAACAAGAATAAGACATCAGTTTGAAAAGAACCCCTCTCAGAGCAACATGAATTCTGCTAAAATTGAAGCTTGGACAGACATCAAATTTATGATGAAGCTTGGGTGGAACAATGGTGAAATCACTGATGCTTTATAAAAAGTTTGTGGGGACAGTACCCCAAAGAAATCAGCAGTTTACAAATGGATAATTCATTTTAAGAAGGGACAAGTTGATGTTGAAGATGAAGCCTGCAGCAGTAGACCATCCACATCAGTTTGCACGGCAAAAACGAATTTCGTTTGTGCCCTAGTTGAAGAAGATCAGCAATTAACAGCAGAAACAATAGCCAACACTAGAGACATCTCAACTGGTTCAGCTTATACATAATTGACTGAAAAATTAGAATTGAGCAGACTTTCTGCATGATGAGTGCCAAAATTGTTTTGCCCAGATCAGCTGCAGATAAGAGCAGAGCTTTCCATGGAATTTTTAAGCAAGTGGGATCAAGATCCTGAAGCATTTCTTTGAAGAATTATAACAGGAGATGAAACATGGCTTTTCCAGTACAATCCTAAAGATGAAGTGCAATCAAAGCCATGGCTACCAAGAGGTACTGAGTGGTCCAGTCAAGAGCAAAGGTCAAGGGTCATAGCAACAGTCTTTTGGGATGCTGAAGGCATTTTGCTTGTTGACTTTCTGGAGGGCCAAAGAACAGTGACATCTGCTTATAATGAGAGTGTTTGGAGGAAGTTAGCTAAAGCTTAAGGGAAAAATTCCCCAGGAAAGCTTCACCATTGTCCTCCTCCACCACGACAATGTTCCTGCTCATTCCTCTCTTCAAACAAGGGCAATTTGCAAGAGTTTCAATGGGAAATCATTAGGCATCCACCTTACAGTACTGATTTGGCTCCTGACTTCTTTTTGTTTCCTAATCTTAAAAAAAAATCTTTAAAGGGCACCCATTTTTCTTCAGTCAGTAACATAGAAAAGACTGCATCAACATGGTTAAACTCCCAGGACCCTCAGTTCTTTAGGGATGGACTAAATGGGTCATATCATTGCTTACAAAAGAGTCATGAACTTGATGGAGTTTATGTTGAGAAATAAAGTTTACTTTTTTAAATTTTATCTTTAAATTTCATTTTCCATGAACTGTTTGAAGTCCCCTCATATTTCCAGTAGTATTTTTTATAGTGTCTATAAATAAATCTCATATCCCAATCACATTACACTTACGTGATCTACAAGTCTACCATTTTTCAACAGAGTATGCTCCATTGGTATTTCATAGAGAAATGAGTGGCTTGATTCTTTTTTTTTTTTTTAGGATTGGAAAAATTAATAGACACCAGCAATTTTACTATTTTTAAAAACAATTATCTCTCTTGAATTTTACAGAACTGAAACTAACTCTATTTGAATCATCTAATTTCACAATGTCTTTATGACCTTTCCTCCTCTGCCTTCCACTTCTGCCTCAATTTCATGCTGTAATAGTTTAATTTATCAAGTTTATTGTGCTTTCTATGTACCTAGCACTGTATTAATACTAGGTAGGAATCAATTATTCATAAGGAAAATAGTGCTAGAGATGAGGTTACTGTTAAAATGCTATTTAACAGCATTGTGGTTATAGCAATTTATTGGTTTGAAAAAATCCACTTGTAATTCAAAATGAACAGTAAACATGACTCATTCCCTATCTCCACAGTGTACAGGCTAGCATATCTCCGACTAAATACCCTATGTGCACGCCTTCTGTCTGACCACCCAGAACTAGAACACATCATCTGGACCCTTTTCCAGCACACACTACAAAATGAATACGAACTCATGAGAGATAGGCACCTGGACCAGGTAAGAAAATCGAGCACTTTATATTCTCTTCTCCCTACTTATTTCTTAACTATGTACTGATTTCTTAAGAAAAGATTATATTCAAATGAGAAGCTAGATCAATTTAGTAGATCTAATATACATTCACTTGTTGGCTACCATTTATATTTTTGCAATAATTCTTACAAATTTGAGCTTTAAAGCTCAGGAGTATTATTTCAATAACTGTACTTATTTAATGACACAAAAAATCTTATCTGTAAAAAATCACTGAGGAAACGGTTCATCATAGGCTTTTTCTGTGTTGTGGTAAGCTAGATTTCATTTTAGTGTGGAAAAAGCATGAGACTTAAGAATTAGTTGATCTAAAACAGTGCCTATTGAATGAATGAATGAATGAATGAATGAGGTTCGTTTACAAACAGGGAATGATCTCTCATATCCTCCTTTTTCTCCTCTGTAAAATGGGTTAATAAGAACAATATGTTTTTGGTAATGGCTTTATTCATATAATACACATACTATACAAATCACCCATTTAAAGTATACAATTCAGTGGTTTTTAATAAATTCACAGAATTGTGCAGCCATCACCACAGTCAATTTTAGAACATTTTCATCACACCAAAAAGAAACCTTAAGCAGTTACCACCCATTCCCCCATCCCCAGCCCTAGGCAACACTAATCTACTTTTTCTCTCTATAGAGTTGTCTACTCTGGACATTTCATAAAGTGGAATCTTATAATATGTGATCTTTTGTGTCTGGCTTCTTTTATTTAGCATAATGCTTTTAAGGTTCATCTGTGTTGTAGCTTGTATCATTACTTCATTCCTTTTTAATTGCCAAGTAATATTTCATTGTACCAATGTGGCTGAACCATTTTACTTCCTACTGATAGCATATGAGGTTCCAGTGTCTATATCCTCACCAGTTTGTTCTTTTTTTATCATAGCCATCCTACTGTGTGAAGCAGTACCCACTGTGGTTTTGATTTGCATTTCCCTGATGGCTAATGATGTTGAGCATCTTTTCATGTGTTTATTACCTATTTGTATATCTTTTTTAGAGAAATGTCTATTCAGATCCTTTGCCCATTTTTTAATTGGATTATTTTGTTGTTATGTACAAGTCCCTTTTCTATATGATTTTCAAAAATTTTCTCCCACTCTGAGTTATTTCACTTTCTTGATGGTGTCTTTTGAAGCACAAAAGTTTTTAATTTTGTCATGTCCAATATATCTATTTTTTTAATCTATTTTTTATCTATTTTTTTCTTTTGTTATTGGTGCTTTGGTGTCATATCTGAGAAACCATTGTCAAATCTAAAGTGGTTAAGATTTATCCCCATTTTCCTCCAAGAGTTTTATGATTTTAGCTCTTATTTTATTTTAGCTCTTTTGATCCATTTTGTGCTAAGTTTGTATATGGTATGAGGTAGGGGTTTAACTTCATTATTTTGTATGTGGATAACTAGTTGTGTAGCACCATTTCTTGAAGTTTTTTCTTTCCCCATTGTTGACAGTTGTTGAAAAGTCAATTGACTGTAAATATATAAATGTTTATTTCTGGACTCTCAGTTCTATTCCATAGGTTGTTCTTATTTGAAGATTAAACTGTCTTAATTACTGTAGCTTTGTAGTATGTTTTGAAATAGGGAAGTGTGAGTACTCTACATTATTATTCTTTTTCAAGATTGGTTTGACTATTCTGAAACTTGCATTTCCATATGAATTTTAGGATTGACTAATAAGTTTCTTCAAAGAAGCCAGCTGAGATTTTAATACAGATTGCACTGAATTATAGCTCAATTTGGAGAGCATTGTCATCTTAATAACATTAAGTCTTCTAATCCACGAACATGTGATGTCTTTCCATTTATCGATACCTTTAATTTCTTTCAACAACTTTTTGTAGTTTCTACAATACAAATTGTGCATTTGTTTTGTTAGATTTATTTCCAAGTATTATGTTATTTATAACAATATGTAAATTGAATTTTTTAAATTTCATTTTTGTATTGTTCATTACAAGTATGTAGAAATACAGTTGATCTTTCTGTATTGATCTTGCATCCTTGCAACTTTGCTGAACTTGTTTATTAGTTCTAATAGTTTTTTGTACATTCCTTAAAATTTTCTCTATATAAGATCTTATCTCCAAATAGAGACAAATAGAGTTTTAATTTTTTCTTTTCAATCTGAATGATTTATTTTATTTTCTTACTGAATTGCCCTGTCTAGAACCTCCAGTACAATGTTGAATGAAGTGGATTGAGAGGAGATCTCCTTGTCTTGTTCCTGATATTAAAGGAAAGCATTTAGTCTTTTCACCATTAAATATATTGGTAGCTGTGTGTTTTTTTGTATAAGTCCTTTATCATGTTGAGGAGGTTCTATTCATAGTTTCTTGTGTGCTTTTATCAAAAGAGTGTTGCATTTTGTCATGTGTTTTTTCTGTATCTATTGAGATGATTGTGTGTGTGGTTTGTTTTGTTTTTTTACTCTTATTGTATCGATATGGTGAATTGATTTTCAGATGTTAAACCAATCTTGCACTTCTGGAATAAATACCACTTGGTCACAGTGTATAATCCTCTTGATGTGTTCTTGGATTCAGCTTGCTATTATTTTCTTGAGGATTTTTGCATCTAAGAGATATTTGCAGTTTTCTTTATATGGTGTTGTTATCAGTGAAATTCTTGCCTCAGAATTAGTTGGGAACTCTTCTAATTTTGAAAGATTTTGTGAAGAATTGGTATTGTGTGTTCTTTAAATGTTTGGTAGAATCCACCAGTAAAGCCATGTAGGCCTGGGCTTTCGTGAATAGTTTTTGATTGCTAATTCAAGCTCAGATTTTCTATTTTGTTCTTGAGTTGGTTTTGGTAATTTGTGTCATTCTAAGAATTTTTCCATTTCATCTCAGTTATCTATTTTTATTGGTATACTGTATATTCATAATATTTCCTTATAACCTTTTTATTTTTGTAAGGCTGGTAGTAATTTTCCCAATAAGAATGATATTTTGAGCAAAAGATGGATTTTTGTATAAAAGTATAAGCTACAAAAGTCTATTTTATAAGAGCATGTTTGGATGTATAAATTCTAATATGTTGGATCTTTAGAAATAGGCACTTATTGCCTTATGGTTCTACTGCTTTCTACAGGATGGAAAGATAGACAGTAGTGTTAAGAATTACTAGTAAGATTAGGTATTTGGAATCAAGAAGATTTTTGTGAAAGGTGCCTTAGGTAAAGTATTGAAGTAGAAGAAAAATGTGAATTAGCAAAGAGGACACTGAATAGCAATCTAAATGGAAGGGAATAGTAGGCTTGGGGCTGGTAGAATGCTGAGTAGGGGATAATGAGTAGGTATTTTTGGCAATAGCAGATGAGAGCAAGAATGGTACATATGTGATGACTACTTAAATTAGGCAATAAAGTTCATCCAGATTAAGAAAGTCTGATGTTTTAAAATCACAGAGAATCATTTTCAAATCTTATTTTTGCATTTAAAATCTTTTTATTGAAACGGAATATGAATACACAAAAATTCAAATATCATAAGGATACATCCTAATGAAAATTCATCAGCTGAACTTACTTGTATAAACAGTATCCAGATCAAAAAACAAATTATCAGCAATATAGAACACTTTCTCCTGCCCTCTTCCAATCACTACATCACCTTTACCACCACCAAGTGTATTATTTTATCTGGTAGTTTGAAACTTTTTCACATCTGGCTTTTTAAAAAAGTGCTAATTATACAGTTAAGTGACTCCAGTTTCAACTTTTCTCTTTTGGGACACATTTAAGGAACAGGAGCCAAAGTTAGTGTAATTCACAAACCAGATGATCAGTCCTGAATAACTGAGAGTTGGCTATTTGCATTTTGTTCTTTAAACACAATTTGGGTCAAACACTTCATATAGACTTTCAAACTAAGCTCAGGATGGGGAAAAAACTGTAAGAAATTAAATTTTCCTCTTTTGAAGCTAAAAGAAAGATAACAGAGTGCTTTTTAGAACAAAATTATATAATAAAATTCTGACTATTTTTAAATCACATTTACTAGATTATGATGTGTTCCATGTACGGCATGTGCAAAGTGAAGAATATAGACCTTAAATTCAAAATCATTGTAACAGCATACAAGGATCTTCCTCATGCTGTTCAGGAGGTAGGTAATTTTCCATGGTAAAATTATCTAAAATTATCATATCCATAATATTGATAATTTCAGTCATTAATTAGATCATATATTGTGACCTTATGTAAATTCACAAATCAAATCTTTTATATTATTGGTTTATTATTGGTTAATTATTTGTAACTAAAATGGAGTTGGAAAGCTAAGGAAAATTATGAAATTATCCAAATTCATAGTTTTTATAAAGTTAATGCTATATCCATGCAGTAAGCAGGATATTTGTGATAAACTTGACATGCATAATAGGACATTAGATGTTCTTTTAAGTTATTACTTTATAGGAAAAGCCAGTATAAATGCAGCCTTATAAAGAAATAATAAAAATTTTATATTTCCAGTTTACCTTTTCTTTAGAGAAACAGTAGAAGTAAAATACACTTGCTCTGGCCCTTTGACTCCCTTAATGCTTTTCACCCTGCCATACTGTCTATACCTCTCTTTCTGGATGGCCAACTGCTCCATCTGCTACTGCCTCGCTGCCTCTCTGGATCATTCTGTGATATTTTGCTCCTGGTAAAGCACTATAAATCAAGCCTAAAAAGGCATTTTCAGATTATTTCTTCCTGCATAGTATGTGCTTCCTACTAGTTAAAAAGTAGTATTTCTTTTAGAAAAGAAAACCTAGAGAGAGAAATTCCTAAATTCATTTAACAAGTGTTTTTACTGTTCTTCAGACATTCAAACGTGTTTTGATCAGAGAAGAGGAGTATGATTCCATTATAGTATTCTATAACTCGGTCTTCATGCAGAGACTGAAAACAAATATTTTGCAGTATGCTTCCACCAGGGTATGTTGAAAGTATCCTTTTATTAGGAAAATCTAATTCTAAAGTAATGGATCCCACTAAAATATTAAATAAATAATCTTTTTTGTTTTTGCTCTAGCCCCCTACCTTGTCACCAATACCTCACATTCCTCGAAGCCCTTACAAGTTTTCTAGTTCACCCTTACGGATTCCTGGGGGGAACATATATATATCACCCCTGAAGAGTCCATATAAAATTTCAGAAGGTCTGCCAACACCAACAAAAATGACTCCAAGATCAAGGTATGTGTTTTCTCTTTAGGGAAGTGGTGGAGAATAAGAGGGAATTATTTTGATTCAAGCATAAAAATATAAAGCTTTCTTGTTTAAAATAAGCTAGACTCTTGAGTCTCTAATTTGATTATTCACACTAAGTGATAAGAATTTGGGGGAAAGAAAATCTGTAGACTTGGGTGGGTTTGCAAATGAGTCATAAACTTTCTTAGCTGCTGGGTCTCTTCTTTTGTAAACAGTCCGAGAACCAGTTTGCTTATATGTTTTAAGACACTATCATATTTTTGTAAGTAGCCAATCTGCTAAACACAGTAGATTACTTTAGGTTAAGAATTTTTATTCTGTAGTTTATTGGATGCCCTGTAAACTCTTTCTGTGGACGCTGTTCAATTTGCTTGTTATAAATATGAAGACAACTTATTAAACGTAGATGACTGTCAAGTAAGTCTTTAGAGGCCCATCCCTAATTCAGCCCATGGCCACCTTCTGTTACCTTGGGCAGGTGTCTAGCTCAACTTCAGAAGGGTGCTGTGGAAATGCTGCGTGTGAAGCTGTTTTAAATTCTCAGATGAAAGGGTCTGTGCAACCACAAATCATTGTATTATCTTCCACATCCAACCACAAGTGCTCTCTGGCTTTGAAGTTCTACAACTGACTAATTATATGTTATCATGGGCTATTTGAAACTGACTCTATTTATATAAAATAGGAGGCAGATTAGCTAGTATAGTTAATGTAGTCTCATCTCGGAAATTGTCAGCCCATATAGTTGTACCTAATAGGCAAGAAAACAAGGAGAAGGGGTATATTAGCCTTTTAGAAAATATTTGTGTGGTATGTTTAATTATAAACACTCATGATAAAATTTTCAAACTCTACAGAAAAATATGAAGTAAAAAATCATTGACAATATGATATAAATGCTCTTGTGTGCCCCTGTATTATCTTGTATTTATTTGGTGTTCTTGTATACAAATTGGCTATCTGTGTACTATTATCTGCAACTTACATTATAAGGTGCTAAGATGCTACACCATGTCTATTTAAGTAAATTTACACAGTCCCATGCCACCACCTGAAAATATATACACTTAGTTTTTTAATGATGATAATTAATCTGTATTATGGTGATAAAGATGGCTGTTGGCTGATCTTAGTGAAATCAATTCTGTGCTCTTTAGCAAAAAAGTCACATTCTGAAAATCCTAACTGATAAATCGGTACACTAAGAGAGCATCTTAATGCTGTTTATCTAGGGTATTTATGTATGTAATAAGGCCACTTATCAAGGAATTAGAGGACAATAAAGTCTATATATCTATCAGTTCCATGTGCATATTTTCAGATCTTTGTTGTATCAGGCTAATGCTGTTCTTCAACTTTATAATTAAGAACATAAACTATAGGGTTCAAAGACAACCTAATAGAGATTTCTGATTCTAGGGTACACTTGTATGATGAATAGCCTTTACTTATATCAGTATAGATGCTAATTAGAGTACTGATTATTACTTAATACTGTAAAATTTTGCCAAATGTAACTTGAATTTTACACTTGATCTTAGCCAAAAGGCCGAGAGCAATATCTTGAATTTTAAATGAGAAAATGTAAAATAAATTTGATAACTTACCCATTGGTTTATGAAGAAGTAAATAGGGGCAAGCTTAAAACTTTCTTTTACCCCTTTAAATATGGACAGTAGCAGAATATGTTCTTGTAGACCTATATTCTTGCTTTGAAAATCTAATAGACCAGCTGAGTATATGATTAGACTAGCCCTGTTAGAATTAGCCCCTAATGAATATTATTCGTCAGTGGGTCTAGGCTAGAGGAAGCCTTTGATTTGGTATTCCTGATAGTTCAGAATGATGGTCTATATTCATCTCTGCACAGTTATATATAATTTTCATTACTAATTTGTATTTCATCTTAACAGAATCTTAGTATCAATTGGTGAATCATTTGGGGTGAGTATTTCTTTCTATGAAGTATAATGGCATGCTGTGTAACTATAAAAGAAATTAAAGATTTCTATAATTTGAATTTACAAATGCTATTATTCAAACACCTCATCCAGGCATATTGCGTAGAATTTAGAAGATATATCTCATTTATTTTCAAATCAGGTTTAATTTCAAATGATAATCATAAATTGTGAACTTCAAAACTGTTTTCTAAATATTCCTTTGAGATTATATAATACATGTATATACATTCACATATATACATAGATATATGAGGGGTCTTCAAAAAGTTCACGGAAAGACGTGTATTATCTTTTAACTCTATTTTTACATGAACTTTTTGTATGTATGTGAGCTGTTTTTACTTACAACCCTTGTGACACCAGATTTGTGGGGTTTTTTTCTCACGCCAAACTATTCTCCAACTGTCTGGACACAATTGGTATCTTACGATTCAATTTAATTCTGACAATTAATTACCCAGAGTTAGTGTCAGACTCCACAGGTTCAAGGGCTCAGTCCCACAAGACTGCTCTCACTTCAGATGCCAGTCACAAGTGTCAGGTTCCCAGGTTACACCACCCTTCCATCCAACTTTGCTACAAAGTTGGGGGGTTCCTACAATGCCATCCCCTTTCAGGTTTGATAATTTGCTAGAATCATTTGTTTGATCATTAAAAAAACTCCAGAAAATAATTTATTTACCAGTACTTACTGGTTTATTATAACTACAAAGCACTGGTATTTAATGATTTTAAATAAAGAATTCTGTAATTTGTAGACTTCTGAGAAGTTCCAGAAAATAAATCAGATGGTATGTAACAGTGACCGTGTACTCAAAAGAAGTGCTGAAGGAAGCAACCCTCCTAAACCACTGAAAAAACTACGCTTTGATATTGAAGGATCAGATGAAGCAGATGGAAGGTAGGAACTGTTTTAGAAAGTTTTCCAGCAGCTGAGCTGGTCATCTGGAGAACTCAGCATCTCAGCTGTGCTCATGATATCCACCTGTCCCCTTCATGCCAGTTTTATTTGGAAGTTGTAAAAATGGCTCAAAATAATAGATATGGATGCAGCCCAAAATTAAAAGCACCAAATAAATCATATAACATCTACTGAAACTCAATGGAGATATCAGATGTTAAAAATATTATCTTTTTTTTACAAAGATATTGATAAAATTTTTTAGTTTTATGATTAGATTTAAAAATGCTTACTCTTGAAAATATTAACTACTGTGTTTTATAAGAACCACTGAAAAAAAAATATAGGATCATAAATGTGTGACATATATATTTTAGATGATTAGATTTAAACCTCTAAAATTAAAAGCTACTCACTAAAATAATAGCATAAAATGTCATTGAAAGTACCGTAGTTATTGGACATTTGAATTTTCCATTTAAACATATACATATGAAATATTTTGCATTTTTTAAAATCTGCAGTAAACATCTCCCGGGGGAGTCCAAATTTCAACAGAAACTGGCAGAAATGAGTAAGTACTTATAATTTCACCTTATGTAAATGAAAGAGATTGTTTACATTGCAAAAAGCCTTTTCACTTTATAAAAGAATACACACATATAATTCCTTCAATGAGCAGACTTGTTTATGCATTTAAAATATCATTTAATCAAGAATATATTATTTACCTACAAACATTCATGAATTAAATATATGATGCAAACTGAAGGTCATCTTCACCCTCTCTGAAATCTTTCGTGCAGGACAACTAAGAAGTGAAACATTGCTTGACCATATCTTCAACACGAATGGCTGTGGTTAGAAAATACTCAGGATAGCAGAACTATAATCAGGAATTATTTAAGAGTGTTAGATAAAGGGAAAGGTTTTATAAACCTAGAACATGTAAACATCATCACCCTTATTTAAAGAATAATCTTTTATTCTATTTTTTTTTTTTTTTTGGTCCTTTTTGAGACCAGCCGCACCGCGCTCAGCCAGTGAGCGCTGTGGGCGCACCGGTCATCCCCATATAGGATCCAAACCCGCGGCGGGAGCGCTGCACTCTCCCGAGTGCGCCACGGGCTCGGCCCAGAATAATCTTTTATTCTGCTTTTGTTGAACTTTCCTAATTTGCAAATTTTAAAACTTAATTTCAAACAAAAGTTTTCCATTACTGGAAGTCAGAATTTTGATAAAGAACCCCAGGTCATTCTTCAAGTTATACAGAGTGATATAAAGTTGTAATGTTAAGGCAAGTGGAATTCTATCCTAAGCTACTCTGAGACTATAAAAAATTAATCCAAGTTTAGTCGATGAAAAGCACATTAGGGAAGAGACAAATGTTCACTAACTGTTACTGGGTTGTGAGTGTGACATTTCCTGAGATCTGGTGCCAAATCCACTAATAGGAAATGCAGTTGAGACTTGGAAAGAAGAAAAATATTTAGGAGATTAGAGGTGTTAAAACTATCATTCTTAGATCATGGGATGTATCAATGAGAACAATATTAAGTGAAATGTGAAAGTCTCTCGACATGGCTTTGTAGATACTGACTTTGAAATATAAGGTATTTAAAAGAATGCTTTCGGTTGCTTTGTAAAACCGTTTTTTCTATGTGTGTTAAGAGAACAATTAAATATACCCCAAATTTAAATTTTCTAGTTATAAATGAATCTTTTTTGATTTTTCAATGACTAATATATCCCTATTTAACTTTGCAATAGTTCTGGTTTTTCCCTCCAGTACATGAAAATATATGAAGCTTATAACCAAAATTAGGTCTTATAAACATATGGAAGTATTTTAGAGTCCATAGATATGCATTTTTTTTTTCCTTTTTGTCTTTTTTCGTGTCCGGCAACGGATCGCAACCCTCAGTGTCGCGCCTGTACCGGACCGGACGCACCTCGCTCAGCCAGTGAGCGGGAACCGGTCTGTATGTGGGATCTGAACCTGCGCCACCGGGCCGGCCCCCATAGATATGCATTTAAAAAGGAGCAGAAAGCTGTAAAAACATACATATTTTCTCAGAGAAAAGTTCAGTTGCTGTAGTAAGTACATGTCCTTTCCCAGTGCCACACTTAGCTATGATGGGGAGTTTCCTCTGCCAGGTCTAAGTTCAGTGCCTTTGTGCAGCTGGAAAACTGGGGACAAGCAGCAGGAGTTTTAACCCTTATAAGGCATTTTCCAGGATGCTCTTCATCTTTCTTCAAAGAATTGCATTCAGAAAAGATCACAATGTTGGATTGCCCGGAGTGGAAAGGCAGGAGGGAGAGAGTCAGAACTATTTACTATTTTCTTTCTTTTCCAAATGTGAATATTCCTTGTACTTCCTTATGAAGAGTTCCTGCCCACCTCTAAAATCAGGTTAAAATTTTTTAAATAATTTAAAATAAGTGTTCTGGTTTTGTTTTTATAATAATTAATAATATACTTTTTAAATGTCCCAATTAAATGAACCCAATTTAAATGAGCTATGAGCTGATGATGTCTCTGTAGTACCTGCAAGGCATTTCTGAACACAAGGGAATCCCTAGCTTTATAAAGAAAACCACCACTTACTCTGCCAGATCCAGTCTGGGCCAGCCCAGGATTCCAGTCTCTCAAGTACATGCCAAACTCAATCTCATCATCTCTAGAACTGTGGTCTGTAAAGTGGGGCATATCTGGGAGTTGTGCAATACCATTTTTGGGGGTATGTAATGAAAATATTAGGAGTTCTATTTATTTTTATCTCATTTCTTTTTAATATTTGGGGTATGTGTTTTATAATTTATACACATATATACACACATACATATTTTGTTGGTACATGGAAAAAATTTTATAGTGATATATGATTTTTTTTATTATTGTTTATATATATATGTTTTTTAAAAAGTTGGAGACTACTGCTTTTGCAAGGTCCTGAGCTCCATCTGTTTGACATGAGCATAATATATATGGCAGGCCCTTGCCAACTCACCCAGCAATATCAGTGCTATTAACAGTTCTTCATCCTTTTTCCAGCATCTACTCGAACACGAATGCAAAAGCAGAAAATGAATGATAGCATGGATACCTCAAACAAGGAAGAAAAGTGAGGATCTCAGGACTTTGGTGGACACTGTGTCCACCTCTGGCTTCATTGTCTCTTACAGATGTGAGTGACTGTATAACTCTGTATAACAGAACCTGTTTAACAGCCCCATTTAATATCTTCAACTCTTTTTGTGGATATAAAATGTGCAGATGCAATTGTGGGGGCAATTCCTAAGCCACTTGCAATGTTGTAGACATTGTTGTACAAGATTAAAAATCTTGTGTAAATCCTGCCATTTAAAAAGTTTTAGCAGATTGTTTTCATTTCCAAAGTAATGTTGCTGTGCTTTACAAACAGCAAGGATGCTCCTGGAGGGGGAGTCCTACCAACCCCTGCCTGTCTGACTACTTTGCCTTCTCTTATAGCATATATGTGATGTTTGCTCTTGTTTTTATTAATTTATATGTATATTTTTTTTAATTTAACATTAACACCCTTAGAAAACGTGTCGTCTTCCAAATGTAATTTGACTCACTGCCCATTTGCCCAAATTATCCTGAGCTCTGATGCTAAAAGATATTATTAGAACCTAAAAAACATTACTAATTTTTACACATTAGATTTTATTTTACTGTTGGAATCTAATGTACTGTGTGCTTCTTTTTATAAATTTTAGCTTTTAAATATAAGCAGGAAAGAAAGTATAAACATATGATACTGTCATACTACTGACATAGATTTCATACCTCAGAACATGTAGGAACTTAACTGATTCTTTTCTTCATCCAACTCATGCTTTAAAATGAGGATTACTGATAGCACTCTTGGTTTTTATTCTATTCAGATCACTGAGTCTATATAGTACCCATGTAGTACTTGAAAATGTAAAGTGTTCCATCCAGAGCTTTGCCGTAGAGGACCCTTGACAGTATATCCCAAGTGCACTTTCTAATATTCCTGGGTCCTGAAGAATCAAGATACAAATTAATTTTACTCCATACACAGACTGTTAACTATAGGAGCCTTAACTTTCTTTTCTTAGAAATTTCTCTAATTGCATCTCAACAATTATTCTGCCCTCCTAAATTTGGGAAGGTTTGTGTTTTCTCTGGAATGGTACATGTCTTCCATGTATCTTTTGAACTGGCAATTGTATATTTATCTTTTTTTTTTTTTTATTTTAAAGTCAGTATGGTCTAACACTGGCACATTCAACATCACATTATTTCTAGTCTAAAACTGCAAGTAATCAAAGGTCACTGTGGGTTAGGCATTAATGTTTCTATCTGATTTTGTGCAAAAGCTTCAAGTTAAAATAGCTGCATTAGAAAAAAGGAACTCCTCCCTTCCCCATACCTAAAGGTATATTTAAACTATTGGTGTGATTAATTTATTTAGAGATGGTATAATTTAAAATAGGTGGTATTTAAGGTAGCATCAGCTAGCTTTTAGGAAAATCACTATGTCTAAACTCAGAGTTCTTTTTAAGAAGAAATCTGGTCTTATTTGTTAGAAAAAATTTTATTTTGTGCTCAATTAAGTTTCAAACATACTATTTTGACAGTTATCTTGATAACAAAGTCACTAGAAAGCTTCACCCCACTTCCTCATTAATTTTTGCATGAATACCATATACATCAGTTCATTTTTAGGTCAAGGGCTTACCATCTTTCTGGGTCTTTTGCTAATAAGTTCACATTAGAATTAGTGCAGGAATTTTAGGAACTTCAGAGATCGTGGATTGAGATGTCTTAAATAAGGCTTCGTATATTGCTTTATTCCTTTTTTGTATTGGTTACAACTGTACATTTAAAATTGCTATGTTACTGTTTTCTACAACTAATAGTTTGTCTATTTTAAAATAAATTAGTAGTTAAGAGTGTTACTGGTCTGATGTTGTGGTCTTTGTATTAAATGTACCAAAGTTCTCTTTTATATCTAAACTGTCTCTCAGCAGCTCATCCATTCTTAGCCTTTAATGGGCTGTATATGCTGATGATTCCCAAATTTATTTCTCTAGCCCTGACCTCTTCATAGAGGTCAAAGCTCTCACAGCCAACATAACTCTCAATTCATACTCCCCACCACCACCCCAATTTCTCAATATATAGACCAGAATCAAACAAACAGAAATATCATGTTTCTATCCTGGTCTTTCCTTGTTTTACTAACACTTATCAAGCTAAAAACTTAGGAGTCATCTATTAACTCTTTTCTGGAACACTGCTAAAGACTTCTAAGTAGTCTCCCTATTCCATCTCTTTCCTCTTTACCATTCAGCTCTGTAAAGAGCAAAACTGATTCTTTAAAAATGTAAATTGATTCACATTGCTCCTCTACTTGAAGTACTCAAACTCCTCATCAGGAACTATTAAGCAGTCGCACCAACTTCCCCATCCTCATCTTGTAGGACTTTCTCCTCTCTCACTATGCTTTAGCCATGTAGACCTTTTTCTGTAAGATGTCAAGCCCATTCCTTCTTCAGGCTTTTATATTTGCTGTTCCTTCTGCCTGGAATGCTCTTCTCCCAGAATTTCACAAAGCTCTTACAGGGCTTGGCTCAGAGGCCTTCCTTGACCACCGAAGCTAAAATAACCACTCTGTATTATGCCGTTCTCCTTCAAAAGCATAACAGCATTTGTCACTATTTGTCCCATCTGAAATTACCTTACTTGACTTGCTTATTACCTACCTCCCCACCCCTATCCACACCACCTCAGATTGTGAGCATCAACCTAGGTAGTCTTACTACTATAGCTCTAGCACCTAGAAACTCGCATGTAGAAGGAAAAAAAGGCAGAATGTGTATTTTCCATATCTTTCCATATATGTGGAAACAAATAATATTCTCTTCCTTTTTTAAAATGCCATGTATTAATACCTATCATATTCCAGGCACAGTTCTAATTACTGGAGACCCAATAATGAATAAATAAAACTAAAATCCCCATCCTCGTGTAACTCACGTTCTAGTATTAGGCAAAGAGAACAAATGAATAAATAAATGAATGTATAGCATGTCTGACTGTACTAAGTACTAAGGAGAAAAACAAAGTGAGGGGAACAGGGAGGACCGTAGGGAAAGCAGTTTTAAAATTTAAAATAGAGTAGTCAGAGGAAGACTCACTGAGATAATATTTGAACAAAGACCTGAAGGAGATGAGAGAGGAAGCACACATGAACAGGAGTAAAACATTCCACAGAGAGGAAAAGCTAGTGCTTTGAGGTAGGAATATGTTTGGTGTGTTTGAAGAACAATAGGAGGTCATAGTAAAACAGGGAGCAAGTGGCACTCTCCATCTAATGCAGAGCATATGTTAAAGGCCTTTCCTCCTAAGCATCCTTCATATACACAAGTCAACAATCACATTAGTCCACAGACTTTTATCTGCAATTCTAAAATCTACAAAGCTTTAAAAACCAAGTGGTTCTGTGTCTGGTGCCAAAAGTCATATGGCATCAAAACCATACCAAAACTGGGCATAGAGCTATTTATAGTCTTTATTCCACTTACTGGAAATGTTCTTATTTTACTGCAGAAATATTAATATGTTTGATTATTGGGAACTAACCCAGCTCCTGCTTAGGTGTTATATATTATGTGGTATATGTACCATATCATCATTCTAAACCCCAAAAATGTTATGAAATGCATCTGACACCAAGGTTTTCAGATAGGGGATTATCTTGGGTTTATATGATTTCTCATAACAGGGTGGATAATGAGATTCTTTCCTTCTGAAACAGCAGCATGTTTGTTCCTGAAGGAAGAAATGCAAAGAAAGAGGGTAGAGCAGAAAGAGCAGCAGCATATCTCAATGGGCTGCATTTATGTTGCATGCAGTCTCTTAGGTTAAGTCAAAATTAAGCAGCCTTAATGACACTAAAAAATTTTAATCTGTATGACAGAGAACTGATCTCTTCTGTGAGATTAATTTAGTATTCCAATGATTAAATGCTCATTAAAATAAAAGGAACAAGTTCCAATTCATATATGTATTTACTTTTCATTACAGTTTTCTGGTGCAAATAGTGGTACAGTGGGGGGACCCTACATAACTAATTCTGTTATCATCTGGATGATTTCAAAGAAACTTACTTTTAGAAACATATTTTTGTCCCTCATTTTAAGGCCAATATAGTATACACAGCATGGATAAAGAGTCAATAGAATTTTCCTTTGGTCTAAATAGATATTTTACAGGACAACTTGAAACCTTGCCTCTAGAAATATTAAGTTTCTACCATGACTATAGCTTCTTAAATAGAAATATATTATGGAACACTGTTTAATGTCTAAAGGGATTAAAACAAGCTCTTTCAATATGAAGCTGAAATAGTCATCTGTTCTCATAAATACAGTCCTATTATTTTAGGACTGTATTTATATATTAATATTGACATATGTGATAATGAAAATTTAATATGAAAGGTTAAATTTATTGCACAGGCCAACATCAGTTACTTCCTAAATAGAAAATGTTATGATTTTCAGCTTAATTTACTTAGAAAATCAGTAAGGTTTATATGTCTATGTTTTGGCAAAGACTGAATTAAAAATAATAGTAAGGTATGATTTTTTTCTTTATCTTCACAATTCTCCCAACAGAAAGAGGAAGGCTAATAAGATAGACAAGATTACACAGTTGTAGGTTTCTCTTCATTATCTGTGGTTAAGAATTCTGCCTCTAAATAAAACTCTCCATGTTATGGTCAAAATGACTGGCAAGTTACAGTGGTTCTAGGCTGAAGAACGTGTTTAGCATTCTTAATCTTTGCTTTTTAAAATGAATTAAATGGTATCTTCACAAACCTCTATCAGCAGTGAGGACACTACTTCATTCCTATAAAATCTTCACCTTTCTCTTTGGAAGTTAGAGTAGAATTATATAGGAAACACTAAAACACTGAACTTCCCTGTGGGAGCAAGAGAGAAAACTTAAAGGTAGAAAATCTAAGATAAATTTGTGCAACAGAAAGGATCCATTAATTTCTGATGTAGTGTCATTATGAAAATGTACCTTTTTCCCTCACATTATCACTAATAACAGCAGGCTTTTCTGAGGCTCTTCAAACACTCATCTGTTAGAAAGAAAGAAAGGAAATCTTTTTCCTTCCCATGTGAGTATCAGTGGCAAGCCTCTCCTCAAAGATCAGAGAGGAGGCATGTTTTTTCAGACAGATGTATCCACACCCTGGGCTCATCTGTCATCTCTCAAACTGGTCTAAAATTAGCTCTTCCTTATTGTTTGGAGTCATAAGTTTTAAGTGCTAAACCATTGATTCTCATCCTTGGCTGAACATCAAAATTATTGTAGAGCGTTTTTACTATACTGAATTAGAATCCTTGAATCTGTGTTCTGTAAAATTCCCACAGATTATTCTGTTGTGCCCAGAGATACAAAGCACTGACATACATAATAGTGCAAACCTACATACAGCAAAGCTTAAAAAATCTGGGTAAAAATTCAGAGTAATAACTTATATTTTGGCAGTATGGCTATTGACCCATTGTGGAGTTTGGTAAAGGCTATTTTTCATCCCTTGATAAACTTATCTGTTCCCCTTTAAGAGTTCCAATTTTTATACGAAATGAATTAATAAAAGAAAAGGGCACTAAGGAGCTTCAGAAGACCCTGTCAGAAATAAGCGAGGAAGAGGAAGACAAGGTTTTGAAAGACACTGTGAAGCTGAAAAGCCTAGTTACAGCTAGTAGAGAGGTGAAGAAAAAAGATCAAAGAAATGAAGACTGTGGTTGTCTAATGGCCGGGACTGATAGCTATAGTGTACTTCCTGTGTCTGAATGTTTCTGTGCTGGATAAAATAGCAAATCTATCAAAAAATGGGGAAAAAAAGGTATATGGCTAACTTTTAAAATAACAAATGAATAAGAATATACTGTTCCCCAAACAGGATTCTGATTTAGAACTAGAGGTGTCCAGACTCCTTTGCCTCTACTAAGATTAGGTCTGCAAAAAAGTGGATAAGCAATTTGTCAGAAAGAAAAATTCAAAAAGTGACCTTAACAAGAGAATGAAAAGACAAGCCACAGACTGGGAGAATATATTTACAAAAGACACATCTGATAATACATCTGGATTGTACCCAAAATATACGAAGAACTCTTAAAACTCAACAATATGAAAACTCAAGTGGGCTAAAGACCTGAACAGACACTTCACCAATGAATATATACAGATGGCAAATAAGCATATGAAAAGATGCCATACAGCATATGCCATAAGAGAAATGCAAATCAAAACGATGAGATACCACTACGCACTTCTTAGAATGGCCAAAATCTGGAACACTGACAACAACAAATGCTGACGAGGACATGGAGCAACAGAGACTTTCATTCATTGCTGGTGAGAATGCAAAATGGTGCAGCCACTTTGGAAGACAGTTTGGTGGTTTCTTATAAAATTAAACATATTCTTACTATATGATCCAGCAATCACTCTCCTTCATGCTTACTAAAGGAGTTGAAAACTGAGGTTCACACAAAAACTGTACATGGATGTTTACAGCAGCTCTATTCAGAGTTGCCAAAACTTGGAAATAACCAAGATGTCCTTCAGTAGGTGAATGGATAAACAAACTGGCACACCCAGAAACTGGAGTATTATTCAGCATTAAAAAAAATGGGCTATCATGCCATGAACAGATATGGAGGAAACTTAAATGCAGATTAGTAAGTGAAAGAGGCCAATCTGAAAAGGCTACATACTCTATGATTCCAACTATATTCTGGAAAAGGTAAAATTATGGAGACAGTAAAAAAGATTAATGATTACCAGAGGTTGAGGGGAAGGAGAGCAGGATGAACAAGTGGAGCACAGAGGATTTTTAGGGCAATGAAACTACTCTATGATACTACAGTGGCAGATCCATGCCATTATTCATCTGTCCTAATCCACAGAATGTACACCACCAAGAGTGAACCATAATGTAAAGTATGGACTCTGGGTGCTGATGTGTCAACATAGGTTCATCAGTTGTAAAAACAAAAGTCCCACTCTGGTGGGAACTGTTGATAATGGGGGAGACTATGCATGAATGGGCGTGGAGGATATATGGGAAATCACTGTATCTTCCTCTAACTTTTGCTGTGAACCTAAAACTGCTTAAAAAAATAGTCTTAAAAAGTGACCTCACCAATAAAGAGCAGTCAAAGGCAATAATATGAACAGTACATTGTTTATAAACCATTTATGTTTTAGTGTGGGCTTTGCTATGAGACCTTATCTGAGTAACTGCTTTAAAAAACAAGCGTAACTAAGGTATATATACACAATGGAATACTACTCAGCTGTTAAAAAAATGATGTGCTATCATTTGCAGCAGCATGGATGGAACTGGAAACCATCATGTTAAGAGAAGTAAGTCAGTCACAAAAAGACAAATACTGCATGATATCACACATGTGGAATCTAAAAAAAAAAATTCCCTTAGAAGTAGAGAGTAGAATAATGGTTACCAGAGATTGGGAGGTGGGGAGGAGGGAAGAGGTGGACTAACGAATATCCTAAGTGAATCATTGTGCAGCATATCCAAGTACTGAAACAACATACAAATAGATGTTAAAATTAAAAAATAGAAAGTGTATAATATATCAAGTGGACTTATGTACATGTTAGAGCCATGAGGTTGATATAATTCTGCTGATGCTTAGGGATTAAAAACCCAACTCATCTGTTATCTGCAAACAAACACTTTATTATCAAATAGTTCAGCATCAGAACAAGATTTCTAATCCCAAAGGGTTTTTTTTTTATATAATATATTGTGAGGTACATATTAGAAGAATCTGATGCTACTGTCCATTCCACTTTCCTTTTTTGCAATTAGGTAATTTGTTTTGATCTAAAAAGTATAAATTTATCTCATTGTTGTTTATGCTGTCCATGAAATGTATTAGTTCCTTTTCAGCTTGCACTTTATAATTATACTAGTGCCAGGTTATGAGACCTGTTTTACAGTGACATAAAAGTCAGTTACAAGAAAAACACAAAATATTTTTACTTACGTAGGCAAATCCCTCTTAACACAAAGTAAAGCAAAGGACCTTATGCAGTGATGTAAGGCAGATGAGCCCTGATATTTCATTCATTCAAAGATAATCCTTCATATTCAGTAATCTCATATGAGAAATTAACAACTCAAAGTAAACAGAAAATTAAAGTTAGCCCTTGGACCTCTGACCACTGCCAAGGCCTTTTGTGAATTCAAATTAATGCTCTAAATTAGTCACTATTTCTCAGAATGATGTACCAGAAGAATAGGAACCTCAATCATTAAAGGCTGTTTTAAATTTATTTTGTGAAGTTATTCCTTCATCCAGTGTTATACAAATAAAGCTGTTCTCAGGGCATATTTAAGATTTATGTTAAGTTAATTGAGTGCCTACTATATGCAAGGCACTGTGCTGGATGCTGAAAATGTGGTAGGGATAGCATTCCTTGCAAGCTATCTATGTAGTATCAGCTAGCTGAATAATGGAACATTTGGCCAGAATAGCATATATTGAGGCCAGGTATCCAATTTAAGTGGCTCAGAAGAGGAAATGGTAAATATAAGAAGATGTATTAAAATTTTTTCCTTGAATTTAGTCACATATGATCAAAGCATTCACTGCTTTCTGTATAAACTTTGGATTGGGCAAATACAGAAGACTGACCACCATCCTTCTTTGGACAGCATTCAGGCAAATGGAGTTCATCATAAACACTATAAAAGAGAAGTTATTCATCTCTGGCTTTCGCAGAGGAAATGGGAAGGCTCAAAAACTTTCCTTTCCTTCAAGGGGCATCAATTTTTAAAGGCTCCAACTCTGCTTGCTTTGCTGATAAAGTTCTTCAGGAGATCATGGTCCATTTCTGCAAAGCCTGAAGTTTGTGTTACTACAGTCAGGTGATTTATGCAAAACCTGAAGCAGAATTCTTCTAAATCCTAGGAACAACAACAAAAATGGTTTAATAAGTTTGTTTTCCAATAGCAATGCAACATAACATGAAAATTCCTAAAACAAGTAGGCAAAGAAAAAGGATTTGATAGCCAATAGGAGGAAATGTTGGTATGGCAATACCTAAAGAAGAGTTATAAAAACTATATTAGTAAATAAGAATTCATGCTTGTAAAAATGTAAATAAGGGGCCGGCCCAGTGGCGCACTGGATAGTGCGCCGCTTGGGAAGCGCGGCGGTGCTCCCGCCAGAGGGTTTGGATCCCACATACAGACCGGTTCCCGCTCACTGGCTGAGCGAGGCGCGGGAGCAACACCGAGGGTTGCAATCCTGTTGCCGGTCCCCGGTCCGGTACGGGGGCAACACTGAGGGTTGCGATCCGTTGCCAGACACGGAAAAAGACAAAAGACAAAAAAAAAAAAAAACAAAAACGTAAATAACACAGACTAAAAGTGTTCGAGTTCCCTCATACCAACCAATGTAAAGAATCTGACTTTTTCTTCCAAGAAATAGGCACCTAAGTATACAAATTCTTTGCTATCTTTTTCTAGTGACGGTACTTGTATTGTTCATTCTACTGTCAATATTTGTTAAAGCCTTACACTCCTCTTTTATATTCCACTGGGTGCTTTAAATATTTCTACCTGTAAAGAGTTTATAGAAAAAAAGAGTAAGCCAAAAAAAAATAGTAATACTGGGGACACTGCTTCTCTTAAGTCATTAATGGGCCACTGCTTTTTTCCTTTGTGAGAAGACAAAGGATGGGATGGATGGATTTCATCACGCTACACATGCCTTCAATAATCTTAACGGGGAAAATGCTTTGAAGAACTCATGACTTTCAAGGGTCTCTAGTAAGAGAAACTCTATAGATTGGTGTTTTCTGGCCTATTGCAATGCACTCTGGGCCAAAGAATAATCCTGTAGTAAGTCTCTTGATCAGAGCTGCAAACTTGAGAATCAGAATGAAGGTGGCCAGATGCTTTCTTGGCTCCAGAGTAAAGTGAGGCCAGCCTGCTGACACCTCTGATATGCCTCAGATTCTGGGCTATGCTGCCATCTGACCCTGCACAAGTTTCTGCCAAGTGGTGCTGGATTGTTACAGCTTCCTCTCTATGTCACTGAAGCTCATTTATAAAAAATAAAGCCCAAAATAATTTCCAAGCAATTATATATGCACATGCACACTATACACTTGTTTTTCTTTAGACACATAAGATATAGCAAATGCTGAAAATAAAAATATAGGCTGAAAAATTAGCAGTACTGATAGCCGTGCAAATGTACACACAAACCTACACTAATTTCCTTTTTAAAAAGAAACACACTACATAAGGAAAACATATTTATTTAATTTTTTTTTTTCTGACCGGTAAGGGGATTGCAACCCTCAGCATGGTGTTGTCCCCACCACGCTCAGCCAGCTCACCAGCCATCGCTATATAGGATCTGAACCCGCAGCCTCGGCGCTACCAGCACCACACCCTCCTGAGTGAGCCATGGGGCCGGCCCTTTATTTGATTTCTGAACAAAGCCAAGCAGGCTGCTAGGGTCACACCGGCAGTATGACATATCTCAGACTCAGATAAGTCCTCAATGATAAAATGGGGAAAATTCACACCCACTCGGTATCATAGCATGTTAATAGACATAAAAGTGTTAAAATAACTCACTTAAATTTTTAGAGATGACATTCATACCTATACCACACACATTAAAGCATGTCTGGAGAGAGGTGGTTAGGCAGTTTGAAGTCTCATAGATCTGGAAAGTATCAGTAAAGTTGCTAATTAATGGGAGAACCAAAGGACCCTAAGAAGTTATCACTTGGAGCTATCCTCCTTCACTTTCAAGAATGGCAACTTCCTATAATCATTAAATAAGGGCAGGACTTGGAAAGAGTTCCTATGACTCTTAAGAATTCAGTTAAGTTGGCATAGGGTGCTGGTATTGGTAATAAGGGAATTCTGTCCATGTAAAACAAGTGCTCATTATTTTTCAGTAAAAGAATTGTACTCTACATTAAATGCTATTACTTTATATGGCTTCATTTTAAAAATAGGGCCCTTAGTTATGTCCTGAAATCCAACCACATTTCCCTCATTCTTTCATTCTCCTGCACAACTCTCATACTTTCTCCCCTTAAGCCCCAATATCCCCTCGCTCCTCCTCTTTCTAAGCTAATATGACTCCCTAATTCACTGAGAAAAGAGAAGAGAACCTCCACAAGCTCTTTCCACATATCTCCTCACCTGCCTGCACGTCTGCCTGACTCTGGATGAACGGTCATGATCCTATGTGAGGCAGGCCCCTCACTTTTTCACTAGATCTCATTGCTCTACCTACACAGGGACCACACTCTAGCAACTGTCCCCTGCACCATCAACTTGTCCACCTTTACTGGATCATTTGCATCACTATACAAACATGCTTCAATTTCTTTCATCCTAAAAAGGTAAAAAATAGGTTTTACCTTGAATGCCCCTCCTCTTTATATATTTATATCATCTTTATATCTTTATTGTAAAATTATTGGGGAAGGTTGCCTCTATTCCCCATTTCCAATTCCTCTGCTTCCATTCTCCAAGCAGACTTTACCCCTCACAGTGTCGAAACTCCTAGCCGAGGTCATCCACGCCGTTCTCATTGCCAAGTTCACCCGTCAGTTCTCAGCTCTCACCTTGACTCACCAGCAGTATCTGCCATGGCTGATCCATGTTCTCTCCCAGCTTCCAGGACACAGTTTCATGGTTTTTCTCTTACATCCCTGCTCACTCCTGTTTAGTCTCCTTTGCTGGTGTCTCCTTACCTCCTTGGCCTTTACACCTGGAGTGCCTAGGGCTTCATCCTCAAACCTGTGTCTCATGTCACAGGCTTACAGCTTTAAATACATTTCTCTCTGAACTCCGGATCTGTTTATCCAACTTGCTTATTAGACACTTTCATGTGGATGTTTAATAGACATAACATACTTAACATATTCAAATTCCCGATATTTCCCCCCAAATGCTGTTCCTTCCAGTCTTCCTTATCTCAATAAATGACAATTTAACCCTTTCAATTGCTCAGGCCAAAAACCTTGGAATCATCCTTAAGTTTTCTTTTTTTCCTTACCCTATATCTCATCCATTAGCAAATCTTGTTGCCTCTACCTTCAAAAATAAAATCCCTTTTCACCATCCCCACAGCTAATAACTTGGACCAATCTGCCACCATCACTTACCAGACTATACAGCCTACTGACTAACCACCCTCCTTGCTCCACACACTTTTCTCAGCACAGCAGCTAGAATGATTATTTTCATGTAGGTCAGATCACACCTGCTCTTCTCCAAACCCTCCAAAGGCTGACTCAGGCTAGAATTCAGATTCCCGAAACCTGGTTGCTGGGTCTGCAGGCCCTCCCTGCCTCCCCACACGCCACTCTCCACTGCACCGTCCCCTGCCTTCATCCACCACCTTCATTCTATCTCTGCTCCATGCATACCGATCTTGCTGGTCCTCGAGCTCCCCACCCACATCCCTCAAGCCTTTGCTCTAGTCACCTTCTCAGTGACACCCTCCTTCCCTGACCACTCTCTTTAAAATTCCAACTTCAATCTCAGCCTGGCACTCCCTCTCTCTTGCCTAGCTTACTTTGTTCCATATCACTTAACATCTGACATACTATATATTGTATTCATTTATTTACTTATTATCCATCTCCCTTCACCAGAAAGTTCCACAAGGACATAGACTTTGGTCCGTTTTGTTCACTTGCTGTACTTTTAACTCCTAAAACTGCCAGGCATATAGTAGATACTCAGTGAATATTTACTGAATCAATGAATGAACATTGCTGATTTTAAAACAGAACTGTAGTTAAATGTGTGGTTTTGAAATGTGTCCAATCTTGGATTGCATTCCAGCTTTGCAATTTACTAGCTTGCTAAAATTACTTAATCTCTCTGAGCTTCAGTTTTCTCATTTGTAAATTGAGACTAATAATAATGTCTGTATCTTATAAGGTTGTTTTAAGGAATAAATGAGACATAAACTGTGCTTAGAATAATCCCTGGTTCATATTAATTATGTACTAAATGGCAGTCTAGCATGAGGGATAAAAATTTGCTGAAAGAGCCTGTTTCTTGCTTGATTATTAGGGTCAAATCAAATATGCTGTTCTTTATTTATAAAAACTTTTATATTAAGTATACATACAGTCTATTTTACTTGTAGTCTATGATACTAATTTAGGGTATAACAATTAGCTGGACAGGCTGTAGGAAAATAGTGTCTCTATAGGCAAAGTTGAACACTCATTAAACAAGTACTGAATGAGAACCTACTAAGTGTCAGACACTATCCCAGGCACTGGGGATATGGCTGTGAGCAAAACAGAGTCTCTGCCATCCCTCAAGGAGCTCACTTTCTAGAAAACAGGGGACTGGAAGGTAGCCACGCAGATAATTCACATAAATGGGGAATATGAAAAAGTCTTAGAAACGAAGCCAGCTTCAGAGGGGAACACTGTGTGCCACCATCTTGACATCTAAGATAGCACTCTGGAGTCCAGGGTTATCACCATGACTTTAAAGAACAAACTCTAGGAAAACACAAAGGTTTTGTTTAGCCAAGAAACATTTTTCATGTTATAAGTCCCCAATATATTATTACCTGGATATAAGACAAAGATTCACTGTACTTTTAAATGTCAGTGTTCAAGGTAGGTAAGATTTTGTTTTGTTTTGTTTTGTTTTCCTTTTTTTGTCTTTTTTCGTGACCGGCAACGGACTGCAACCCTCAGTGTCGCGCCCGTACCGGACCGGGACCGGCAACGGGATCGCAACCCTCGGTGCTGCGCCCGCCCCTCGCTCAGCCAGTGAGCGGGAACCGGTCTGTATGTGGGATCCGAACCCTCGGCGGGAACACCGCCGCGCTCCCAAGTGGCGCACTGTAGCAGTGCGCCACCGGGCCGGCCCAAGATTTTGTTTTTTTAATGTTAAGTGAAAAAAAATCTAGACTTCAAGTACTGAGAGATATGTACATAATGTTACCTAGAAGGAACATCAGAAGTTTCTGTGTGAAAGTGGTAATGTTCTCTGGCTGATGAATCATCGCCTTCCTCCCACTTCTTATATTTTCCAAATTTTCTTTAATAAGCATATTGTTATTTACATAGCAGAAATAAAGTTATAACCTTTTTTCCACTAAAAGGTCTCTGGTTTTTTTTTTTTTACCAAAGAAGAGGATATCCTTATACCGAAAGGAAACTGAAGAAGTTATGGACTGTTTCCTAAAGATTTAGCTCTAAGATGGGTTTTCTTCACTTTCTTTATTGTCATAACAATACATGGTCACTGTAGAAAGTTCAGAAAAAAGAAGCAAAGAGAAGGAAATAAAAATCATCCATAATCCCACCATAATTTTCGGTCTTTTTTTCTATGTAGAAAATGAATTTTGGTCTTTTTTAATTCAGCTATTTTTACTTATTTAAAAAATAAAAAAATAGGATCATAGTTTTCACTTAATGATATACCTTGAATATCTGCATAATTTCATAGTATTAACATTTTGTAAAAAAACCTCTACTATTCACAGGCTTTTTCTAATTTTTCAACATTATAAACTGCTGCAGTAAACATTTTTCAAGGTAAATCTTTGTCCAAATTCATGATTACTTCCAAAAGATAAATTCCTATAAGTGAATTCCTTAGTTAAAGAATTACAACTTTAAGGCTTTTAATCTATATTATACCACATTGCCCCCAAAACAATTGTACCAACTTGCACTTGGATCAGCAGTTTAGGAGAACACCCATTATTCTGAGCCTATAGCATTTCTAAAAATATTCTCCAATTTGGCAGGTGAAAAATTACACCTTGTTTTCATTTATATTTTCCACTTAAATTTTTCATTTGTTCTTCAGTTCATTTTTTTCAAACTCATATTTTCTTTTTGTTTTTTACTATGATAAACTTGCTTCATTACATGTTGCAAATATTTTTCCCAGTATATCATTTACTTTCTCATTTTCTCTGTGGTATTTTTTGGTGCATGAAGTTTTTATCTTTTGAAATCAGATCTATCAATCCTTTCCTTTTGTGGTTTCTGCCTTTGATGTCCATCCTAATATTACATGAATATTCACTTATTGTTTTCCTAGTACTTTTGTTACTTTATTTTATTTACATTAAATCTTTAACCTACCTAGAGTTTATTTTACTTTAAAATATGAAGCATCCCTCTCACTTGCTTTTTTCCAGAAGGTCAGGTAGATGGGTGAACACCTTTCTTACCTGAGCGTCATACTTCACAGCAGCTGAGAGCAGGGCAATGGCGTTCTCTTCACAGATTCCTTGCTTGATAGTTTGTTGGCAGAGCTTTTTCAATCGATTTTCTCTATAAAATGTAGCCAAATCTAGCAATCCTGGTGGAAAGAGGTGTTTGTCAGGGGGAGTGATATCAAGCATCCTGATTTAAACTCGCTCAACCATTCAGAGATAACTTGGACATTCTTCTGAATGTCATCTGCAGTGTAGCTCCGTGCAAATAGAGCCTTACAGTGACGTACACTTTTGAGCGTATGGCTCTGCCTAAGAAGGTAGCCAAACTGAGCAAATATAATACACAGATAATTAGCTTTTGAAAAACAGGGGCAAAATGAAAGTGGCATTAGTATTTTTTCCTAGGAAAAAAAAGGTACGCACTCCTCTAATTACCCCTCCCCTGCCTTATCATATCTCCTTCTGGGTCATTCCCCTCAGCGTACACACATGCATGCAGTCATAGTGCCCATCTTTAAAAAAACAAAAAGAAAAACCTGCCATGGATACATGTCTGCCTCCTGCTTCCCTATCTTATTTCATGGCAGCAAAACTCCTAGAATGAGTTGTCTGTATCTGCTGACTCCCTTTTCTTGCCTCCCATTCTCACCTCCAGCCATTCCAGCAGAACCTCACCCCCACCACTCCCTGAACTCACTCTTGAGGCTGTCATGAGTGGCTTGCTCAGTGCCAAATCCAAGTCTCTGGTTTCCTCTTCCTCAACAGTTACACGGAATCTGCTGTGGTGGGTGATGCTCTCCTTCTAGGAACACTTTGTTACTTGCTTGTGTTTTTCTTCTCCTTAATTAGTTACTCCTCAGTTCTACTGGCTGGACCATTTGCTTGACTTCCAAATGTCTGAGTGCCCCACGGTTCAATTCTCAGACCCTTCTTTCACTTATTTCCGTAAGTAAGCTCCAGCCCCAGGGTTTTAAATACCATCTCTATCTGCTCATGAGTCCTGTTATAGTCCCTGTCATCTACTTTCAAATACTTCAGTGTAGAATGAGTGGTAGACATATGTAAGTTAATTTTAATCTACCCTGAGAGACAATATGAAGTACTCTAATCAGGAATGGCCAATTAGCCTTGGAGTAATCTTACCTGTTTTCTGATGTCGCTATCTGAATCTTCATTGGAGGACTTGTTTGTTAGTATAAAGAATGTCAGAACCAGTTTGCCATTGGTGAAATAAGTGGTGTTCGGGATATGTGGCTTGGCTGGAAATACTGTGAGGCCTTCTGCCCCTGCATGAATGGGGTTCCAGCACCGTGAGCACAGCATCCTACACCCCTGGCAGCGGCACATGTACTAGGTCTACATTTAGTCCCAGGTGGCCACCTGACGATCACAAGGTTAGCTGAATCCTGCTGCTAGAATATTGTCATGTCACATCCACTTCAGGCTAACCTTCCACGCCTGAAGGACAGAGAGCTGAATTTCATCAGTCTTACCATACTAATTGTTTTTGTGTCTGTCTGCTATTAAGCTTTATAAATGTGGTAGAATTGGTTAGAAACTTGCTTTCATTATAACATAACAAATATTGTCAAAGTTATGGAAGAAAGGCCTATGGCCTACTGAAGGATACTGAAATCTGAAATCTTGAGAGTTGTAAATGGCTTAATTGTTTTTGGTCAGTTCTCAACCACCTCCAAATTCATATCAACAACCCCAAAGGCTCCCCAAGCTTCAGACTCAGATATACAAGCACCACTGCACTGAGAGGTCCCTGCCACACTGGTTCTGCACCTCCTCCAGGCACACTCTCACCACAGGGTGCCCACTTCTAGACCACACTGTGGGGACCTAGGAACCTGATGTTCCCCGCCTAATTGGCCCTGAAGCCGGGTGTTTGGGTACTTCCTTCCTCTGGCAGACCACACCAGCAAGAGGTGGCCCGGATTGGGACAGCGTGGAGTTTGGACATGCAGGCTGTTGTGCCCACACACCCCTCGTGATGCAGGATGTGGCCACAAACTGGAGGCCAGGGGTTGGTCCTTCCTGTGCCACTGCATTCTAGTACAGAACTCCAAGAAGTCCCACAACTCTAAATTCCAACTAACACTCAAACCTGGCCGTTCAGTTCTTAATGAAGGAATAGTTTTAAAGGTAGGAAGATTGAATATATTTTATCTGAAGCTTGTTAGATCAAAGTAAAACTTTAACTTTTTAGACATATAGTATGTGGGCCTCCAACTGGGCTCTTTCCCAGGGCCCTGCAAGTGTAAGGAGTCGGTCTATCAAAAATCCTGCCCCTCAGATGTCTAATAAGCAGTTCAAACTCCTTTGACTTTTCAAAGTCAAAAGAAAAATCTACTGCTCTCCCTCTTCCCCTCTTACTGAATGGCACTTCCATTAACCAGCTACTCAGGCCAAACACCTCAGCGCAGCCATCCTTCTCTCTCCCTCACACCTCATGTTCCGTCTGTCCACAAATCCCATCAGCTCCATCTTTAAAACACATCCAGGATCTGATCTCTTTTCAACACTTCGCTGCCTCACCACTCTAACCCAGGATAAAGCATCGTGTCACACCTGAACCACCTTTTAAAACTAGTCACATCAGTCCTGGGGCAGAAGCTGCCAGCTGCCTCTCCCCCCATGGATCCTCCCCTCCCCCCCAGCACACCCCCTGCCAAATCCTTCTTACTTTCTGCCAAAACCATAGGAGTTTTAGCTTAGCCATGGCCATGTGGAAATGCCCACTTTCCCCAGCCTCCTATGCAGGTGGGTGCAGCCTTGATCAACTCTGGTCCATGGTTTGAAATAAGTGGAACTTCCAGGATCCCTCCTCAGGAGACACTGGGATTTGTCCTGTGCCCCTTTGTCTCTGGCCCTTCCTCCATGCTGCTGACTGCAGTGCTCCACAGTGGTGACGGTTTGGTATTTCTTATCTATCCAGTCAACCTTTGTATGAAGTAGTAACAGGGGAAAAGAGTTTGGGTTCACACACACAAAAAGAACAACTTCTGTGATTACCCTCAGAGTGACTTTCTTTTAGGCTCTACAGAACCACCTCATCCCTCACTGAACATTTTGGAAATTTCTTGGTAGTCTCTGGCAATTACCTACTGCCTCCTCAGGAGAAAGGCTGATGCTGTCTGTGTACAGGTATTCGAGGAAGGCTCGGTAAACTGGGTATGAAAATTCACTCATTTCTACAATATCATCCTCATTGTCTTCCAGTGAAGAACGAAAATGCTCGCACCTGAAGAAAGAAAAAAGCAGGTCAAGTCCCAGCTGCTGGGCCAGCTCCTCGGCTCCCTGAGGAGCACAGCCTTCTCTGGAAGCTGCACACCTCACATCCTTGACTTGGCTCCAAAGCACCTTGCTTCCTTTTCTGGCCTGAAGTTTTCAAGCAAGCCTCCATCCCACAGGGCTGTAGATGCTAACCTGCTGCTACCGCGGGGGGCCCGGGCAGCTGCCTCGATGGCCACGCTGGTGAACACAGTGCCAGGCTCCCTGGGATCTGTCTCACACCACATCCACATATCAGCACTTAGAGAATCAGTTGGCTCTATTTTTATATATCTGAGGGATTTTATTTCTTCACCTGTGTTATGGGTTGAATTACATCCCCTAAAATTCTTATGTTGAAGTCTTAACACCAGTACCTCAGAATGTGACCTTAAAAACCCAAAGACCCTTTGGAAATAGGGTCTTTACAAAGGTAATCAGGTTAAAATGAGGTCATTAGGGTGGGTCCTAATCCAATATGACTGGTGTCCTTACAAAAAGGGGAAATTTGGATATGGACATGCACACAGGGAGAATGCCATGTGATGCCTGAAGTGAGTTAGGCTGCCACACGCCAAGGAGTGCCAGAGACTGTCTGCAGGCCACCAGAAGCTAGGACTGAGGCATGGATTGGATTCTCCCTCACAACCCTTGGAAGGCACCCATCTGGCTGACATTTGATCTTGGACTTCTAGCCTCCTCCAGAAGAACTGTGAGACAAATTTCTGCTGTTTCAGCCCCCCGGTTTGTAGCACTTTGTTTCAGCAAACTGCTCCACTGCCCTTCCTTCATGAAGTTTTGAGTGCTATAGTAAGAGCAAACCAGTGCTGCACAGCCTGACCTCACTAAAGGGGAACTTGAGACTAAAATGCCGTGATGAGTTTGTGATTCTTGGAAGTAGAATTTAAATATAAGTTGCACAACAACATAATGAATTTCAAAATCGTTATGCTGAGAGAAAGAAGCCAGGCACAAAAGAATGCATTTTGTATCATTCCATTTATATAAACTTCTAGAAAATGCTAACTAATCTTTGGTGACAGAAAGATCAGAGGTTTGCCCAGGGCTAAGGCATGAGGGATCTTTGAGGGGTGATGAGCCCAGCTCTTCATAATCACTGGATTATATTAAGGGAAGTTAACTTATGTCGAAGCAGAACACACTCACCAAGTGTTAGCTGGCTGCTCTCTAGAGCCAAGGTGGACAGACCATTTCCAAGCCCTGTAAAGGAAGGCCTACAGGACTGATCCCCTGGTAATAATACCCATGACCTGTACTATTTCTTATTGCATGTATGGTGTGTTTTTCCTGGCTATGTTGTTCTCTAGAAGGGGCAAAAACGGCCATACATTTTTTCATCATTACTGTAGTGCCTAATATAGTTCCTTAGGCACTTAGAATATAATTGTTGAATGAATGGATTTACTTCAATTCTCAAAATAAATGATTCCTTACCTAATTTTGAGAAGGACTTTATGTGCATAAATGTACTTTCCATCAACCAAAAACTTCAGGTCTGCGGTGTCTGGGTTGTCAAATTCCCTCTTCAGTGACTCGGCCACTGTGAGGTGGTCATCGGGTTCTAAGAGAATAACACAAATGCTTCTAGAGTTGGCTACAGACATGTTGAAAATGCAGGCCAGGCTATAGCGCTGCTCTATGACACTCACGAAAATACCAATCCCCCAAAATAACTGGCCAACTGAGCAACGCTACTCTCCCTAAACACGAATTTGCATCTCTGCAGTCATTAAGGATAAGAACCTCTCATCTGCTTGTAATTCTGGCAAGACAACAACTAAAAAGTCCCAAACTACCTCACTAAATGAAAATTTCAAATGTTTGAGTAATTTTACTAGCAAATATAGTTTCCCAGTAAATTAAAAAGCAGTCAAATAAAATTACTTTTAATTTAGCAGGGGATTTTTTTGGATACTTCCAAGAAAATTAATCAAATTAGTTCCCTCTCACAGGAGCCCATTAGAGGGAAATAAATTATAAGATACTGCATCTAACAAAGTCCTTACTATCATCCAAATGAAAACACTGACTTCTCTTCCTAGTTTTCCAGCCATCCCCCAAATGGACAGCTCACCCACAGAGAGGAGGCGCCACGTGACGGCGGGGGTGGCAAAGCAGGCGAACACGTCGTCTGTGCAGGAGAAGTGGGTGAGGTGAGGCAGGATCACCGACTGGCCCCGGCACTGGCCCCACATGTACACGTTTCCACCCTGGGTCTTGGCGGCAGACGTGTGGGCAGAGTGACAGGCTGCGATCTCTACAATTCTGAATTCACAAACACACACCACATGAACACAGTAAATGGCGGAAGAAACAAGTTGATTCTCCTTCCCCTAGGTTTAACTGATTTGGGGCATCATAAACTTAATAATTTACAGAAGGGGCAGGCCTGAGAAGAGGAACAAAACAAAAAACAAAAAAAACAAAACAAGACTTATTACACCTCGTCTCCTAAATTTTCAGGCACCAAACGGTTATGTACATTTAAGCCACACTTCAATGGCACTTATAACTCATCTTTGTTACCACTTCTAGCCAGTAGGCCTATAAAAATATGCAATATCTTGTTTTGATATTCAAGTGTAATCCAAGAAAACAGAGATACAAAAAAGTGATTTACCTTTTTTTTCTTAAAATATTACTTACTGAAAAAGATAATAAAGATTTGGGGTATCTTGACCCAGGGTCAATAAATATTTTAATCAAAACTTCTATTTTAGGGTTAAATGGAGCACATTGTGGGTCATCCCAACTTATGCTGAAAAAGTACAATCAGTAATTCTATCTCACTGGACTGTATCATCTGGACCCCAAGAGAGCAGTTTTCTAGGATCACCACATGATAAACCTAGGCGGAAGCTCATGACTGATGTGGAGGTAGTCATCAGAACATTTCCTAATGGAAAATACTGTTCTGTTGATTGTGAAGTAACTATTTCTCTATAAGAATAAGCCACCATAAAAGATTCAAAGAAGATAGTAAACTCTTCCTTTTACCCCAGGTGAGGTCCCCCAGCTTGACCTTGCCACAGCAGGCACTGGTACAGCACCCGCCGAGACTTAGGCTCAGGACTTCAGAGTCATCTTTGACTTCTTCTCCCTCCTCACCTGCCACTTTTTTCACAATATCCAGTTAACAAATAACATGGATTTTTTGCAACATCTCCCATCGGCCACCACCATGGGTCAGACACACCCTGTATCTGGACACTGTCACAGGTCTCCCTTGCCTGAGACTTCTCTCCCCTGCCCCAAGTCACACAATGCTGGCAGGCTAACAATCCTCCTGAAACACCATTCTCATCAGTACTTTCAAACTTGCAGTGGCTTCCCACAAGATAAAATCCAGACACCAGACATTAAGGCCCTCCATAATTTGGCTTCCACCTCTGTCCAGCCTTCTCTGAAGTCACTTTAGTCCATATACCCTATGTTCCAACAATCACATGTATTTACTGCCGCTCAATGTCTTTATTCATGGTTAAAGTCCTTGCTCAGGAATGTTCTTTCTCTCTGCCTTACAAACGCTGCCATCTTGTAAGGCCCCGTTCGAACGGCCTGAGGTGAAGCGGTCTCCCGCTTACTCGAGCTCTTGCAGCACTTCCTGCCCACACCACTCCAGCCTGCCCTGCTCTTCTTTCAGGTGGATAACTTCCACCTAGTCAGCTAGATTACAAGTTCCTGGCAGGCCGAATCACTGGCTTATTTCTCTCTCTAAGCACACAAAACAGCACCTTACTAAATACAACCTGTAGGTCATTTTATTAACTAATTGGGGAGGACTCAAAAACACAGAGCCAATGAGGGTTGTGTAAGACCCCACTGACCAAGGGTTAGCAATTAAAGGGTGGAGAGGTTCCTCCTCTGCCTCCTCTAATTGGACGTTTCCCAGTCAAGAATGGAGGGTCGTCATCATCCAACCTGGAAACGGTTGTGCTAATCCCCGCAGAAGGCTGAGACATAATGTCTTCAGGTGCAGCCCAAGTGGCTAAACTACTGATTTATTGGAGGACAGAGCTCAGCTCTTGAAAACCACCCATGATTATCAGAGGAAAAGAGGCTGTGGTGTGACACAGCAGAGAGCCCGGGCTTTGGAGTCCCATGGTCCTAGGTTTGAGTCCCAGCTCTACCGCTAGGCTGTGTGACTGTGGGAATGTCACTCAGCCTCTGGGAGCCTCAGTTTCATCACACTGCAGGGCCAGTTTGAGAATTAAGTGATAAAATGTTAAGCACCCAGCACAATGTCCGATGTGTAGGCAGTAGCATAACAATAGAGGTTTCTTAAAATGCTGAAGAACAGGGCCGGCCCGGCGGCGCAGTGCTACAGTGCGCGCTTGGGAGCGCGGTGGCGCTCCTGCCGAGGGTTCGGATCCCACATACAGACCGGTTCCCGCTCACTGGCTGAGCGAGGTGCGGGTGCAACACCGAGGGCTGCGATCCCGTTGCCGGTCCCGGTCCGGTACAGGCGTGACACTGAGGGTTGCGATCTGTTGCCGGACACAAAAAAAGGAAAAAAAAAAAATGCTGAGGAACAGTAATAACATTAAGTGACAAAGCCTCCCTTAGGTAGAGACTAAACATTTCTAATGATCAATTCAGATTAGTAAGACCTTCACTAGAAGAGTCCTTTCCTGACGTTTGCATGGGTCCAGCCTCTAATCCACGCTGTGCAAAAGAGCCTGGCCAGATGGGGGTAAACACACTCTCCACAACAAATTTTTAAAAAATGGGAGAAGGAAGTAGAAAAAAGACATCTATTCAAAGAAAAATACATGCACTGTTAGCATCTGTGTACTGGCAAGCCTCACATGTTACAGCGAATGTGAGGGGAGCAGCACATTGGTCCTAGGCAGCTTCGTGTGGTGGGCAGGACATGGGCTCCAAGTTAGACAGTGGCTGGTAGAAGCCAAGTTGCTTAAATTGTTATAATCAATTTTATCATCTTTAAAAAAAAAAAGGTGGGGGAAGCAGGATATGGGGAAGCAATTATCTCATAGGTTTGTGATATAGAATAAATGAAATAGGAACCCAATACAGCTGGGCAAAAACGGCTTCTTTCCATGAATAAAATGTTTGACAGCTGCTACAGGAACTGTTGGGTCTGCCCTCAGGAGCTCATAATTTAGCTGAAGGCCGAAGTCACAGACCTGTGACACTGCAAACAACTCCCAAATAACCTCAAAGCGTGACACTGCCAAGAGTTCTGGTGAGTAAGGGAAAATACCTGGGGACTCCTCAGGGAGTATTTAAAGTAAAAGGAAGCCTCCTGGGCCATGCAGGCTTTGGATTTGTCAAGGAAATGGAATAAGAGCGTAGGAGGCAGAGGGAAGGGTGGAGCAAACATGCAGGCAGGGGAAAGGAGCAAGACTGGAGAGAGGTGTCCCGTTAGAAGGGCCTAGCTGGAGCCGATCGGCACTCTGGGGACAGAGGGCAATGAGGTTTGCAGGAGCAGTGGTGTCCATCTTCAAGCCAAGGCTGAAGAGCTCAGATTTGATCTGACGTGATAGGAGAATGGGAAACAGGGTCATGATGTGATGAAAACGGTGTTCTGTGAATGACTAACCTGGCAGCAGTGTGCAAAATAGACTTCAAGGGAGAGAAAGAACAATCCAGAAGACTAGCTGGGCAGGCCCATGGTGTGGCGTTATCACATCTAAGCCATGTTGCCAGAGAAGAATGGGGGTGGCCTAGATATCAATGCAGAGGAGGGAGAGGAGTCAAAAATGGCCCCAGAGTAGGAGTCTAAGGACACACCCGCCGGGCAGTGCTGCGGGGGGTTAAAGTCCTTGCT